TGAGAAGATGATGACTTTCGCTATTTGTGAGCCCCGCCGTAGTCCCGAATTGGATAAGGCAAAATTCAATCAGGACCTTTTTCAGAGACGAAATAAAATCATCAGACAGACCAATTGGCGGCGGAAGATGGAGAGATGAACAATTATTGGTTGAGATCATCGCTGATCTCCAGGTTCATCGAGACAGGGGCCGCCGTTCCCGAAAAACGTCCGAGGAGACATAGAAGGGCTGGGCTTGAGGCTCAAAGATTGGAGACGGGGGTACGTTCGCCGGTCGATCAACCGGGTCGTGTATCAGGGGGATCGGCTCGAGTTTGTTGGTGATGTTTGAGCCGTCTCAGTAGAGTCCCGCAAACGCACGTACTCGCGACTCACGACTAAGCTAATCGTTTCTAGCGATGTTGGATTCGGTTGGATATCGCAGACCCGCCCCAACGCCCAGACAACACTTTTGGCTCGCGGGCATCAATCGCGGGATGAAGCTCTCACTGTCTTCTCTGCAGAAGATCGAATATTCGCTCCTCGCGGAGCTCCGGGAACCGAAGCAAGGCGGGCAGAAGCTCCTGGGCTCGGACGCGAATGGGCCCACCGACATTCCTCAAGCATGGGACGAATGCCAGGCGGCATGTTTCCCCGAATTTCCCAGCGGGAAAAAGGGAAATAATTCTGAAGAATCGATGAGTGAAATCAGGTGAAGCGAATTTTGATCGGAACTATGAGAGAGCTCAATTCCAAGGGAATCCTCGAGCGCTCGTCGGTTTTCCGCCGATCGCAGCTCCTCCGAATCGATTCCGGACACAGGAAGACCCACGAAGAAGTATGCGCGATTCGGACAAGAGCGTGATGCCCAGACCGGACAGGAGTTCTTGCAAACACCGGGAACCTTCGCCTATTCGCGTCTTCTGTCGGGTAGCTTGTCATGGACTCTATGGATGTTATGGACTCTAACAGAGAGCTCTGGTCATCCTTCTGATAAGCATACGAGAAATCGTTGACTCATCAAGGTAAATATGCGAAGACCTTGGGGTATTCCGTCGACTGATCGCAGATCCCGAGTGCAGCAATGCCCTTAAGACGTATTGAAACACTCGCCGCCCTCAGCTGAGAATCGTTCCTGCTTGAAAATCAAACTGCTCGATCCCTGTATAATTGACAATGACGTCCCAGGTCAACTCGCCTGCCGCTTTTCGAACGAAAACTCCAAGTTCTGCTTCCTCTTCCAAGCTCCGTGTTGGCAAAACGAATTGGGAGCTATCTACTCAGGACGGGATTGCCCATCAGCTAGAGCTGCTGCCATCCGGTACCTCGTCTCTGAGACAGTGGACGGAAGATTCAGAGGTAAGTTTGGCTAGGTTGCCATGACACCTTCACATGCTCTCATGGGTAGATGCTCTGGACTCACTCTGGAATGACGAATGAGGTCTGGCACTTTCGGAGGATCCGTCCTGGAAGATTCGGGACAACGAAGTCTGAGATCATCTCCTGAGTCCTGAGCCTCATCACGATTCCGTAGCTCGCGCTGGATTCTGGGTAGTGGTATCCAATTATAGGCTCGTCTTCAGTCTAGCCACCTCTTACGAAGACTACCGGGAATGGGCGGCCGAAAACCGAACACATATCGATGTTTCGCAAACTCACTCTGGTCGCATCGAGCGCTCAGGCTTTTCCGCTGCCTGTTTCTATGGGCATGTGCCATAGTTCCGATATGCCTCGTTTACAGATACACTTACAGGTCTGTTTCTCGATCCTACTCTGCGCCAACTTGCTCATTCCTAGACCGGAGTCTAATCTTGGGTCATGGGGATCCAAACCTTCCGCGATGTTCCACGAAAACTTCGAATATACTGTAGGGCAAATCAATGCCAACGCTCTCCAAAGGAGTAGAATCAGACAGAGAATAGAGTGAGTAGTTAGGCGGCGATGTTGGCTGCCTCGGAACGCCGGAAAAATGGAGAAGGAAGAAGATCGTGAGCAGTCAGGCTGAGGCCTGACCAGGCTCAGCTGAGGAGTGTGCTGCGCGTCACCCAGTGTACAGTTTGAGCGGCGTCCGCGCTTCGAATTGCTCCCGAGCTGACCAGAGCTTAGCTTTAATTGCGCCGCCCCTTGTCTCTCCAGTGTAGGGGGGAAGGGGGGGAGAGGGAGCTCTTGCCTAATATGACGTTCCTCTCGATGATTTGACAAGTCTTCAATCTTTCTTTGACCAGGTCGCCTCTGGATGCCTACAAGCCTATGAAATACAGTACTATCGCAGGAGAGTATGAGTACGAAGATCCGATTGCGGTTCCGGCGTCGTTCCGTGGTCCTATAGATCTATCGTGACGGGATCTTCGACTTTGAGAACAGAAACATGGATCTCATTCTGGGCTATGCAATAAAGGGGGCTCGAGACTCCGTCCTATCCTCCCGTCTGGTGATCAACTCGAGGGGTTCGAAGGCGCCCATCCCCTGGAGGAGTTTTGCTTCAGCTCAGCAACTTGCTGTCGGACACTGATTCCCACCTGCTGAAACAGGTGGGAATTTCAAGAAATTCAAGCGCACTTCGAGCTCCGAAGAATCCGAGTCCGGCTCCGATGGAGAAGTTCCCACAAATATAAGCAAGCGACGGGAAATATGGATTTAACGGCTTGTGTCGCAACATCGGTCGGAGCGACGGGCGCCGAGTAACGTTTCCTCGACGGGCTTCCGCGCGCGGGCCCAAACAATAAAAGCGTGACGGAAAACTGTCGAACATAACACTTTGGTCAATCACTCGCATTTCGGTGCCTTCAGGGAACGCCCTGGAAAATTGTTTCTTCAATCTAATCAATACGCTTGTGTCCAAATCAAATGTTGCTCCGCATCGCCTCTCGTCAGTCTGGGGCTAGACTTCTCGATCGTTTGTGTCTCTTCCCAAGGCAACTCCCGAGGAATCGGGCAACAGTCAAATCGACCACGAGAAACAAGCTTTGATGCTGTCGAGGGTCTTCCTCCCCCACAGCCTATCCTCCCTAGAAGCGATCACTGAAACCGACTGTCCTCCAATCTGGTTATCGAATCATTCCGCAATATTTTCCAGAGCATTTTCCCGCCCTCGATGCTTCAGATCCACGACAGAATCGAGCCTAAGGGTCGATGGAATAGATTTCCAGGATTTACTTGGTCCTCGTGTCCGATCCGCCCGATGTTTTTCCGCAGCGCGATTTACGCAGGACGGCGTTAGTCAAACGAATTGAGGCTTCACAAGTTTTTCAAGGATTACGTCAGGTGACCGCAGTCAATGATTTGCGATTCTGACCGACTTCCGCCCGAATCGCTGCCGCTAATGATGACGAATAAGAGCATCGAAAAATCTTATGGGGACGATGAGACCGACATGAGAGTCATAGCAGTCCCACTTCGATATCAGATGATCGATTACGACAGGAGGACGAGGAATCTTACCGCAGTGAGATCCGGCGAAACTTACGCGGGCCTGTGCTCGGACCGATACCGTCATCGCACCAAAACCCCGAATTCCACACAACGGAGCCGGTGCTTGCGCCCTCTCTTGATTCAGGGCCACCTGGTGGCTAACTGAGTGATCTCCGTCCAACACAGCGCGAGCAATTTAGTTCTCTCGATAGAACACGTGTCGAAGGCCACGAGTACAGAAGCTTTCCGCTGAAATGACCGATCGCGTGGCTTAGCCGCACCTCCACTGTTTTTCGACGGGCGCTTCCGTTCCATGAATCTTTCTGTCAGATTTGAAAGCGGTATTCGGAAGTTGAGAAATCTGCCTCGGTATGAAGTTCCCTGAAATCCCTCGCGTCGAGCTTCGCCTGATAAAGGAAGCATCTGGACGTGTTCAAGGATTAAAGCATCTGTTTTTATCAGCCACGGTCCTCTCGGTTCGCATTCCGTGTGATTGCGTTCGGATGACGCGCGTGGCTCACAGCGGCGTGACTCGTCGGTTCATTGATACTTTATTAAGCATTAAATAACAGGATTATCGCTCGAATATTTCCGTCTTCACCGCGCGGTCCCAGCCCCGATTCGTAATAGTACGGAACAGCTACATCGATCCTATGAACTCCACGAAACGATCTGAGGAGAATCGAGCTCACGACAAGAGGAGAAACCCTGCTCCCCGATCCGAGACGGCTCTAATCATCCAAGAGGCTCGAACTGAAATTGCCGGGAAATTGTCGTTGTCGAGAACGTGTATGAGCATGAGTCCCTACCGGTGTATCGAAGCTCATATTCAGCCCCCATTAGTTCTCTCATGATCGGGACTAGCTCTGGCGCTAGTCGACGCTTCGCGCGGCATGAGATCGGCCTCCGATAGGATGGGAGGCCCTTCGAAGGCATCCGGTGGGTAGACCCGCGGGGCACACGTGGAAAATTTCCGACCCGATGTCGTGAACGTCTCGAGAGCCTCAACTGTTTGAAAAGAAGCAGGGAAGCTCGTAGCAGTCGTGTCTCCGAGTCGTGGAGTTCGCCCAAAGGGATCCGTCTGTAGGCCGGGGTGAACACAATGTGTGCAATTCTTGCGGTCGATAGCAGCAGTCTTGCTTATGGGAATTCGGGCTGTAATTCATATTGTATGTGGCTTGAGAAGCTCATGTCGCGGGAACCTGAGCACGACATGAGATTCTCCACATATATACATTCATAAACCGATGTATGTATCTCGGAATGCTATCTTTTTGCCCAGAGGAGCTCCCGCATGGTCTCCTTCGTTTGACAACTCGGGGAGATCGATTCGCGAATGTAGAGGAACAATTCCAAAACATTTTTATTGTCTCGTTCATATTCCGTCGCAGCACACAAGTGGACTCCCCTCGGTAGGTAGGATATACGTATGATAGCGGACTCGAATGTTCCGGGTACGCCTTTTTCGTCATATGTAATCACAGGTCAATTTCCTTTTTATACAGTGTGTACAAGCTACTATGTCATCAGCGGGCAGTGTCGAAACCTTAGAAATCACATTCAAGTCCTGAAGTTTGAATACCACGACCGAATCGCGAGAACGATTCTACTCAGGTTGATGGTCTGCCAGTGCCGATCCGGCCCCTTCCAGCTCCGCGACCGCGGCCCCGGCTTGCACCGCCGAGATTGGCTTTCGGAGGCGGCGATTTCGGACGGAGAGCTTCGATGCGCTCAGTGCAGCCAGTGAGGTATTCATTCGGTGATTTATTGAAGTACGAATTGTAAGCTTCGCTGCTGAAGTTCGAGTTCATCAGTTCCGGCCCTACTGTCAGCCACCCTATGAATCAAATGAAAAAAATCAGTGAGCGGCGATAGACTTCTCTGTTTCGTTTCGAACCGAAGCTCTCGAACCGGGAACGGCATGAAGGTATGTCTCGGCATGGCGAACGAGCAGCTCACCCGGTCTGATGGCCTTATCCTTTCCGAAGAGATGGAGCCGTCGACGTCCGAGACAGAAATGTTCTATGATGTGGAATATTTCCTCCGGTTTCTCCATCTTGCCGAATTGGGGCTCTTCGGATATTATCAAATCAATATCAACGTTCGCATGAATGAAATCGCCATCGGTGGATCGTCTGACGGTGCCCTTGATGCCCATCAGACAGTGCTCCTTCGTCCGTTGGAACACTGCACGGGGCTCGACATTTTTCACCTGAGTCGCGAAAATCCACAAGGTCAGACGAGACTATCACAACTCTTCTCGGCACGTATAGGTTGAAGGAGGGTGATTTACCGCGTTATTTGAAGACCAACCTTGGACGGGTCATCTATGTTTGTCTTGATCCAGCAGATGTCTTCACACCTGCGGAAACCCCATTTGCGGAGACATTGGCGTCCGAGATCCAAACCATCGGATGAGCCACACCTGAAACCAACACACGAATTCAGAGAATATCAACAGCTGAGCAGTTAGAGCATTTCTGCCGGATGCGATTCTCGCGGTGTCTGGCTCCGGATCATGATCGTAAATGGAGAGCAAAAACTCACCATAGGAAAACGAAGGATCTTGGCGCCGCTATCTCTTCGATTTCGAGTTTCATGATTTCTTCCCAAGCCCAGAACCTTGAGCTTGTCACCCCACAGGATCGTTGGTATTCCTCCAGAGGAGGCTCGATTAGAACAACGTCGAACTTCGAGTTCAAGTCCCGAAGATTATACTGCATCAAGTCGCACTTCAAGTACATCGGAGGCTTGGCAGTTTCTCGGATCAGCTCGTCCTTCAGCCTGATGAGTTCCTATAAGATGCAAGAAGCCTGCTTGGGCACCCACTACGAAGAGCTTCGAAGACCGGCTCTACATACAGTGTAGAAGGCGATCAGGACTCTCATCCAAGTCAGCAACTGACCTTTAGTTTAGGATACTCCTCGAATCTGTCTTGGATGCCAACATCGCGTATGAAGTTCTGGGGTCGTTGTCCTGTGTCCACGAAATGCTGGCAATAGTCGTTGTGAGGGTTCGCGGACTGGGTCCCTTTCAGGAAGGTCGACGAATCTCGATACGCCATGACCTCGTCTCCTATGGAGCAATACGGAGGTTCAGGACACCATACGGAGCTGGGATGCGGCAAAAAACACGAATCCATCAAACTTCAAGGGGAGTCTCTGTTGCCACTCACCGGCCTGCGAGGTGCTCGGGGCTTCCTCATTCTGTTGATCCTTGTTCCCTGTGATCGTACCAGTACTCTTACGGTTCGGAGGTCGGTTGAACTGGAAAAAATGTGACCTTGTGTAGAACAGGATTCCACAAGGATGGATTGCCACGTCTTTCTGACCGGGAGGATCCCGAAGAGGAGGATTGATGTAGGACACCAAAGAAACTCCGAATTGGTGAACTCCTTCGTGACAAAAGACTCTCGGAGTACGGAGATATGAGACCACTTTTCTGGAAACCGTCGACTAGAACGACATTGAACTCACCTCGCTCGCTTTAGGTGTCGAATCCTGCTCGTTGCCCAAGAGCAAACCGAGATTTTCGGCGCAGCCGGCTCCCAACTGCTGTGCGAGAAGTTCTCTGCGTTTCGCGCTCTTCGCTTTCAAAGTTCGTCGTATTGATGACATATTATTCACCGAAGCATGGTATCTTCAGAAGTTCCACGGAAGTCTCTCAAGTCGTCAGGAAAGGCCAGCAACAGGGTTCTGAACCCGACATAGATCGAACACAGGCGAGAGGAGTGAGAGGGAGAGCCGTCAAAAAGAGTCGCAATGTTGTTATTTACTGTTTGTCAAATGATGGAGTGATCTCGCCACAACCGGGCTCCTCCACGAGAGGCACGCGACGACTCGCAACTTCTCCATGCCGGGTTGAATCGATTTCGCCCCTCGCAAGTTGAGATCCGAGAAGAAGCTTCTGATTGAATTGTGCTTGCAGGTGATTCCTCAACATGAGTGCTAGATCACTCTGAGCCTTCTGCTCCTGATCAGACAGACAGGCAAGACGGGCCGAGCTAGTATGGCCATTGTCGAGATTGAGCTGGCTCCTCTGTATTCTGTATGCATCAAGATCTCAAGTCGACCCAACAACTCGCGGGTAATGTCGGGGCCGAGAGCCGCCCGGAGATGATCGAGGAGCCCGATCATCCTGATCTTGATGATGTCAAATGCCAAGTCCTTTGTAGCAGACGACAGCCGAACCGATCGAGCTGGACAGCAGCCTAGGACTGAGCCAAACGTTCGAAATTTCGAGGATCGAATTTATCGAGCGCTTGAACACCCGAAACATCCTGCTTGGCTAGTGGACCGTTCTCGGGAAGTTCCCGCCAGCTGAGACCTCCTGTTGCTACGATTGTGGCGGTGAGTTGAATATTCGCCTGTCCTCAGAGCGCGGCCATCAACGAGCGCTCGGAAATCTGTCGGTTCTCGTCAGTTCTTTAGCTCATAATAGTTCTTCTTTCTTTTTTCGCCTAGAATTATAATCGTCCTTCACTCCGAAGCGCTGTTGGTCACCAAGATTTTCTTCACCGTCTTATCCTCAGGAGATTCATTTCAGGACTCATTGCGGAACTCATCATGTCTGAGTACTGGGTCGCGACCCCCAAACGATACTGTGATTTTTGCAAGTGCTATATCAGCGATGACAAGACCGTTGTGCAGGTTCATGAACAGGTGCGTTGGAGACATTCAGTCTTAGCGTGTTTGATCCGGGTGAATCATGCATGCGAATAGCAGAATTTCGTTATCGAACTGGGGCTGTAGTCCACATGGGATACTCCTGGCTGTGAGAACTATTCCTTACGAGGAGTTCAAGCTCCCAGGGCTCAGGTTCGCTCCGGATGGGACCTAAGCTCCGGACGACTCGGGGGTAGGATTGCTGATCCGAACATTGCTTGATTGCAGGGAAAAAGGCACAAGGAGAATGTTGCGAAGCGATTGGCAGACACAGCCAAGAAAGGCTCGAAGATGCACGCCGAGCGAACTGCCTACGACGAGCAGATGGCTGCGATCGAACGGGCAGCCCTCAAAGCGATCGCGAAGGACGGATCGGCGATTGGTAATCTGTCGACAGAATATCCCTGGATCCCAGACTGTCGAATACGAGTATACCTGTATTTACTCCTGGCTCGAGGAGGCGCTAACGTAGGACATGGTCACGTCGTTGCAGGGCTTCAAGACCAGCGCGAGTACGGCCGGATCATGAAGCGTCAAGACGAAGAACGAGCTCTAGCCCAGCTGAATCAGCCCGAATCCTCTGAGAGCTCGTATGCAGAAGTGAATCCATACGCGAATATAAAAACACCGGATGAAACTAAAGGTGTCGCCGGTGGTTGGGTCACCGTTTCCGTCAGAGAAGTCCCGCTCAAGGAAGAGGTGAGAAATTACGTCGAGCTTTTTCGTTTGGGCTGAACTCCATAAATCGCGAAGGAGAACACCCTCGGTCGTACGGAACTCTGCTTAGTCTCGGGCAAGGTCATAAGAGGTGTTTGTGCTCCGCCCATCGGAGAACATATTTCCTTCTGTCTCGATTTCTTGAAGCTTCTCTCTTCGATGTACCGCTCTCATCGAAGGAATCAAAGTTCCTCGAGCATCGAACTCAGAACACTTTGAATCTTCCAGAAAACAGAAGCGGAAGGAGTCGACCTGAAGCCCGATGTAGAAGATATTCCTCTGCCTCCTCCGGTCAAGGTGAAGAAGAGCAGATTCGGTGTGAAAGAAGTCACCCTTGATGAGGGTGAGAGCTCCGTTGACGTCAAGGACTCTGACGTCAAGAAAGCTTTTGGGAGCTTCAAACGGAAAGCGAACCGCGGCAACATGCGACAACGCACTGACGATTGACTTGAAGACTGTTGAGACTTTCAACAGGGTACCCTGATTATGTTCGAGTCGAGACGTGATTCTAGGAACAAGAAGATTAACTGTAAACTGACGGACACTGTAAATTAGACTCAGGTTGTGCCAATGTACAAATGTGAAAAGAAACCTAGAATCCTGTGGAGAAATCATCCGATACCACTCACTAGTCTCTGTCCCCATCTTTTCTTTCGGAGTTTGATCGGATTGAGGCAGAAGCCCGATGCGGAGGCTCCTCGTCACCATGATTACGAGGAGATTCATCGCTGAGGGTAGGCACCTTTTACAAGAGAGCTTCATCGCTTATCGCAAATAAATGTCGAAGCGACACAGGGAAGGGGAACCCCTGAGGTCCTCCGGTACTGAAATAGAACGCATGGAAGTATGAAACAGCTAGACCCAGTTGACACTCGGAGCTTCCCTGCAGGCAGAGATTCCCTTTAGCGATCCATTCAGAGTCCGCTGAGGGAATCAGGCGAAAGGGTGAAGTGATTGACCTGGATATCTATGGGCTCTAGTCAAGAGTCGAGGGGAACAGTCACGCTGGAGAACAGTCCGCGGAACATAGTCGGACGCGAGGAATTTAGGAATGCCTCGTGGAAAGGAGGAATCAATCTCCCTCAAGGGGTGAGCTCTGCAAGGTTTTTGAGGAGTACGCAAATACTTCCCATACGAGCTCCGGTGCCGACCTGATCGCTCGAAACAAAACGTTTCTATAGTAGTGGTTCTGCTTCGCGAAAGTTCAAATGTCTCCGGACATCTGTCGAGACAGTTCCATGATGAGCCCTGAATTTATACGTGAATCCGAGGAATAAGAGCTTGCTGATTTATCTATGCACTTCGCTTGACCGGTCGCCGGTCAAATGCCCGTGATATCAGCTCTGACGTTTCGGTTGTTCGAGAGAGCCCGTGATTGCGGGAGGAGTTCACCTGACACGCTCTCGAGAAACGCAGCCGATGTTCAGGTTCCCCGCCGGAAAATTAATCCCTTTTTTTGCGGGTGTATTTTTATTTTCCATCCAGAGATTCTCATCACTAGGAGCTGTCTCCCTCCGCGTCGTCGTCGTCGTCTATCAAACTTCTTGAAGATCCGAGTTAGATGATGTCGCACTGTAGAGAACTTGCTCCACCAAGTAGAGCGATTAAGAGGAAGGGCACGAGAAACCCCCGGTCTGGTCGAGACGAAAATGTGGTCGAGCAAATCACTTGCAATCAGTCAGCAGCGATCGTTTTGCGAGTTTCGCCTTTCTTCGGCTGGGGTGACAGGATGAAGATGAGCCGCAAGCCCAGTCTATGTCTAGAAACCGTATAAGGGGCCACGGAGGAAAGTACGTAAAGTGAAGTACATCAAGGAACTCGCGGAGCCGTGATCAGGAGTGGCGTATCGTGGTCCGGTATGTTAAGGGTGGAGCAGCTTCGTCAAACCAGAAAGTCGAAGCTGCGAAACCTGGGTCGCCCCACAGCGCTCCAGATTTCATCAAAGATCAGCGGCATCATCTTCTCCACTCTCCCATCAGGAAATTCTGTTTCTGTCCGATTTCACTTCCAGCGTGGTTCTTCCAAGTGAATTTGACATCCGTAAGCTCCCGCCACTAATGCTTCTCGATCAAGAAAATCGGATTCCAGTCGGGAAGTGAGTGTTTTTCCTTTCCCTCTCCGGTGTGAGTGTTGTGTGTTGCTTGTGAGTGTGTTTGTATGTGTACCACCACCACCGAGCCGCCGTGGTGTGTCTGTCTGTAGCGCCGCCTCGTTTTCTCTCTGTGTGCAAGTGTGGCTGCGCGAACCGCGCGCGCGTGTGTGTGTGCGCGTCGTCTGTGCGTCGGAGTTGTATGTGTGCGTCTGCGCGTCAGTATGTGTGCCGTCTACGTTGGTCTGTCGGTGGGTCTGAGTGCCCGCCTGGCTGCCTGCTGCTGCTACTACTGCTTGCCCGACTGCGTGAGCGAGTAGTGTCTGTATGAGTGTGCGGTCGGTCGTGTGGTGCTGCTGATGTCGATGCTGCTGCTGTTGCTGGTACTGGAGTGTGTGTGAGGAGTGAAGCGAGCGTCAATTAAAAGCATACGACGAGCGGAGGATTGTCTGTCTGGCTCGTTCTTTCTCCGAAATCGTCTTGACGTCGACGTTCCCGTCGACACGAGCGACCGACCGACTGACTGACTGGGTGCTTGAACGATCGGATGTCCACGGCAGCTCACTAGACGGCGGATCGACCGACCGACCGACCGACAGTCTGAGTGAGCGAGCGAGCGACCCACCACCGGCCTACCACCCGCCCGCCTGCTTGCCTGCCCGCCCGCCTGCCTGGTCTAACGTCGACCCGGTCGATCGAACGTCTCTGACCGACCGATTGCCCATCTCTGTCGGCCGGCCCATCTCTGGCTGCTGTGTGCCTTCCTGCTCACTCAGTCGCTCACTTACCCACTCACTCCTCGGCATCTTTGTGGACACAGAAAAGCAGCAGCTTGGCAGATCCGGCGAGTGGAGAACCAGAGTTGTGTCAGAGAGCCACCTCCGGCTCGCTGTCGTTCGTGGTGACAGTGTGTAGTTGCGGTGGCGGCGACGGCAACGACCACAACAACTTGAAAAAAATAACAGAAACAAATAGAACAGCAGAACTACTATCGACGACTAGGAGGAGGCACTTCCGATGGTGTTACAGGCAGAGAAAGAGGATCCGACGATGGTCATCCACGACAACAACTTCTAGTGGTGGTGCTTTCACCGCACTGCAACAGCAGCGGCGGCAACTACTGTTGTGATCGTTGTTGTTGCTGCTGCTGTTGTTGTTCTTCTCCCCATCATCGTCATCATCGTCGTCGTCGCCTTCTTTATTCTTGATCATCTTCTCTCGGTTTTGTTCGTCGTGGTGTTGGTGCTGCCGCCGGTCCCGGTCGTCGTGAAGGTGTCAGTGTCGTTCTCATCGGTGCCGCAGTCCTCGTCGTCGTCTTCTAGTAGTCGTCGCTGCTGCTGCCGCCGCCGTCGTTGTCCTCAGACAGTGCTGCTAAGGTTGCCATCGTTTCTACATCATCACCTCCATCATCACTGGTAGGAGTAAAAAGGAGAAAGTTACTCGCGAAGTGTGCAGCTCCTGTTCTGTGTCCGTCGTCGCATCTACTGCACCACCGGAGCGAGAGTGACAAAAAGTCGACGACGACGACAACGACGACGAACAAGCCAAAAGCAGATCCGCGCCGTGCCGGGCGAAACGATGGCGGTTCCGAGACCGCGCTCATTTCACGGAACGCAAGACGTTCCTTCCGGACCCCAGACGACGGTGACGATGTTAATCATCGATTAGAACAAAGCGATAGGCTCAACGTTGTGGAAAAGTGCAAGAGAGTTACTCCACAGATTCGGACCCCGAGGAGCGCAGACCGATTGTTTCCCAGAACAGCTACGAGGTGAGTCCTTTTTCCCTCATCATGCGGACGGTGCCGTGCTAGTGGTCACTGTTAGGCAACACTTTCGGCGTGACGCGACTTTCCTCCTGGACAACTAGTGGACGCTCTTGCCGACTCCGTGCGTGGAGAAGCGAGACGATTCTTAGGTGAAGCGTTACGCCGGTCGGCTTCCACTCCGCCGGCTGTATGAGGGTGATTTTTTATCATCGAGCATCTCGAATACTATTCGACTGTCGACTCGGGCTCGCTTCGGACGCAAGCGGGATCCCGCGCTTTCCCCCGCCCGTGGGCATTTCGTTTAGGAGGAGGATAACAGACATGACAGCGAGCCAACAAATAAGCTTTATCGAATTTCGGTGCATCGTTTCCGGATAACTCCGAAACGGGGACAATTACCAACACCCATTCGAAGGGATTCACTAGAATCCACGCTTGTAGGATGAGGTCAAGCCTATTCATTGAGTCGTCGTTGCCGTCATCCGTCACTTGTTATTATCAGTTCAAGCCCATTTGCTGAGAATGATGGTAACATGAAGACATCAGAATGAGACAGCTCGCGTCAGTTGACATCTGTCCAGCGCTCGGCTTCGCGGTAAGCTTTCGCGGATCCGTCTCGATCGGTTCTGCGTCACCCGCGCGTCCGAACTCGGTTCCCGACTCCGGATTGCAGTCTTTCGGGGCTTGAAGCCCAAATTTTCCATTGAACGGAACGATGAGATCCCTAAGAACGAGCGTCGGCCCCGATCTGAGAGTTGAGTGATCGGGATTTCGAAGAAAATCCCTATCGGCTGTGATCCTTCGGAAAATGATCTGGTGATATAATATCCCGAAGGAGGCGGTGTATCGTGTTGGAATCCGGTCTTCGAGATCTTTGCAAATGCCGTGACTGACAAGAGCGACTCATTCGAGATCCCCCGGCTCGCTCCGGGACTATGAACCGTTGACGTCGGCACGACCGGGGGAACATTCATGAACTTTCCTAAGAACTTGGAGAAGACTTGTTCTTCATGAAGACCCTGCCGGGATCATGCGCTGAAGGCCGCTATGCGATCGGATAATGAGCCGAGACTCGGGCTTGGATGTCGGCATGGTGGCACGGAGGATGACAAATTCGTCCCCGCGGCAGAGAATCGATCCGATCCACAGAATTCGAGTCGGTGTTTCTTCTTCTCCGACGAAGAGGCTCTCTATCGTCGATCGCTCGGGAAGATTCCGGAACTTGGAGCGTGAAAATTTCCGGTGATCGGTACTGACTGATCGATGGTTGCCCGATTGAATCGATAGCGACCGGAGAGGAGAAGCCGTATCAATACGATTAGTTATTTATTATTTTGGGCAGCCTTGATGTCAGCAGCGGGGCGGCGGCAGCAGCTGGAAAATAATTCTCTGCGGGAATATTCGCAGTCATTGTTTATGGTGAGTTTTCCCACTGCAGGCTCGTTCAACGAGACAGCGATGCGAATCGGCCACTAATGAGATTCGGTTCATGAAGTCATCCGACAGGAGTAATTGTGGAGGCGCGAGCCCTGCACGCGTCCCGAGTCGGCCCACAGAAGAGTGTCTTGGCGTCCTGCCGTCCTCGGCTTCGATTTCGTGGAGATACGTTTTCGGTCTATCCGAAAGTCATTGGAGTCGAAGCTTGGGTGTATGCGGAATTCGTTCCTGTTCACGCTGCGGTTGAAGGTCACAGGCGCGTAATACTCGATACGTTGCCTAGAAAATAAGCTGCGTCGCCGTTGTTGGGCGGCTGTCTCGCAAACGAGCAGGCGAG